TTTGCACTAACAGGGGTACAAATACAACGTGCCAGGGTTAGCAACCATGGGGTAATAATAAATCTTACTGGAAACAAATGAGAAACCTATTTTTCTAGATAAGTATACGAGATATAAACAACTTTATCACATTTTAAACCCTAATAAACCAGGATAATATTAGGGTAGTTATTCACCAGTAGTTTATTCTTTTTAAGAAATACTATTGTAGTATTCACTTTTCATAAATAAAAATGGAATGGTTCTATGGGGATTTAAAACCACTTTTCATCAACAAGAAGGAAGACATCCTTCTTATAATTTTATAGATAGTTAAAATTATGTTAAACTTTATTATAAGTACAGTAACACTTAAATTGAACAGTTTTATAGGATTAAAAGTGCTTATCAGATGTAAAGCATAAAATATAGAATTTTCTGGAACATCATCATTCCTTCTCTTAAAACTAGTATAATGTAAAGGACCTTAAATGGTTAACTTTATAATTCCTTAGTTTATACACCAGAGTTATACATAATTAACATCTGACTAACAGTGGAATGTGTGATTTCCGCCTTACTTCCTGTTCCTTGTTTGGTTGTGGGATTAGGGCAGATTCACACATTTAACTGTCAGTTCGATATTAAGTTATATATGATTAGTATAAACTAAGTAATTGTAGAGTGAATTATTATGGTTATCATATTGTCACGTCAGAAAATATAGGATTTTCTGGAGGAACCAATTAACTTTTCCAAGAATTTAGAGTATACTTCATATAACTAAAATACTTATGAACTCACCAGCTTAAATGTTGATCTACTCTTTCAAAATAACTTGTATTCTCAGGAATCCAGTAGACAGGTACACTCCCGAAGCTTTTGAGAAGACTGCCTAGTACCGATCTGAAACTCTTGTCTTCTACTGTATCTACTTTGATGTTTGATTATGTAATGTTTAAACACTTATGTAAAACTTATACTTATTAATGCAATGGTTGTTTGTACTTTGATTACTATAATGCATGTGTTGTGATACTTACATGACGTCCTCCGCCCCCGAACGTTTCCGCCGTTCTGGTTTGGGGGTGTGACACATACATAGTATGGATGGGTTTGACTTACAAATCCCTGAGGTTGATCCATTAGAATCACTTGATCAAGTTCTCCATATAGAAATTCATTACTCACATCCATTTTCCATATATTCCATCTTTTACTAGCAGTTAAGGCCAGTAGAACTCTCAATGTGGTTAGTTTTGCTATAGGGCTAAATGTTTCTTGTAGTCGAGCCTGTATTCTTGAGAGAAACCCCGTGCAACAAGTCGAGCCTTCAGCCTTTCTACTGAACCATTAACTTTCTGTTTGACTTTATAAACCCACTTACAAGAGATTGGCTTTGTATTGGTTGGTTTAGGAACTAATTCCCAAGTTTGGTTTCTCATTAGAGCAGTATACTCTTCTTCCATGGCAGTGATACACTCCTTTTTAAGGCAAGCTTGTTGGTACGAATCAGGTTCTATTGCTACATCTTCAATTACAGCAACATTTGTGTATCTGGGATTTGGTTTCTTTGGTCTTGATGATCTTCTCATACTCAAGTTTTCACCACCATATTCATTATTGATTCTTGGATGAAAACTACCATTTTGCCATGGTCTAGAACTTTAGGACTAAGCTTCATCATCCTCTACAATAACATCTACTTCATCAAGTTTTAAGTTGACATCAGAGGATTCAATCTTATCCTTAAATAGACCTGAATCTGGAACTACTTCACGATTTGTTGACCACCATGATGAAGCTTCATCGAATACAACATTCCTTTAAGTGTAGCACTTTCCTGTGGTTGGGTCACAACAACACCATCCTTTCCTCTCTTGATCGTATCCCACAAAAATACATTGAATTGCCTTTTTCCATTTTGCTATGAAGATGATTAGGCACAAAAACATAAGCATTGCAACCAAACACTCGAAAATAACTTACATTGGGCTTTATATTCCATAGATTCTCAAACATTGAAGGGTATTTGAGTCCTTGTTAAGGTATTCTGTTGATTATATAAGTTGCAGTCTTTATAGCTTCTTCCCATAAACGCCCTTGTACGTTTTTATCATGCAATATGCTGCCACAAATCTCAGACGGATGGCGATTCTTTCTCTCTGAAATTCCATTATGTTGTGGCGTATTTAGACAAGTTAGTTGTCGTTTAAAATTGTGTTTCTTCAAGTACATTGAGAATTCATCAGCAAGGTACTCTCCTCCATTATCTGAGCGTAGACAACCTATACTACCTCTACTTTCTCTCTCGGCTTCAAGTTTGAACTCCTTAAACTTCATGAACACTTCTGACGTTTCTTTCATAAAATATACCCATACATATCTTGAGAAATCATCAATGAAAGTTACCATATACCTCATACATTTTATTGATGACTGTTTCACAGGTCCGAAGACATCAGAATGAACGAGTTCTAAGGGAGTTTTTCACTGATACATTGAACTTTCGAAGGGTTGTAGATGCGCTTTTCCAAACTAACACCCAACACAAATAATATCCTTTCGGATTTCTAGTTGAGGAAGTCCTTTAACAATCTATCTCTTCATCATCAAGTCAAGTTTATCATAGCTCACGTGACTTAATCTCATGTGCCACAGGTCTGCATTTTGGTTGTTTTTTTGTCTTTTCTACATACGCCGTCTCAGCCGACATCACATAAATCGAATCAGCCTGTCGTCCCTTTAGTATAGGTTTTGATCGAGTTTCGAATTCTTTGAAGATCTTCACATCATTCGGACCAAACAACACATAGTGACCAGATGAGGCCAATTGTGAAACTGAAAGAAGATTATTCTTCATACCCGGAACGTGGTAGCCACTTTCAAGTCTCAATTCTTTGTTATCTTCTGGAAGAAACAATACATTTCAAACATGTGCAATTGAGAGTTTAGAATTATCGGCTATCACAACCACCCGATTACCGCCATGATTGATAGAATCTTGAAGTTTCTCACGCTCTCTGGTCATATGGTTTGAACATACAAAGTCAGCAATCCATTCATCAAGACTATCTTCATTATTTTCAGCGGTTGCACTAAACGCCACTTTGTCCTTGACTTGTGCATACAAAGCTTCTGCGTCCTAGTCTTCTTCTTCTTGCGATGCTGCAATATTACCCTCTTGAAAATGTTCTGATCGACAGTTGTGTGCCATATGTCCCTTGCGGCCACAATTATGACACTTGAAAGGAAATCGTTTTTTGGAACGATGGTTCTTTTGTTTATCCTCATATTTTTCTCCTTTTTCAAACTTACAAGTCTTTTTCCCCGACTCATAGTTTCTGTTTTTATCAGAGTTCTTTTTGTAGTGCTGACTAGACTGTGATCGATACTTTCCTTTACCTTTTTCTGCATAGAGGATTTCTTCATCAGTTTTAATCGAGGCCCTACTCATCTTCTTCACTAAGGCTTCCTATCCGACTAAGAAATTCTCAAATTCAACGAGAGAAGGTTGAGTGGCCCAACCTTGAACCGTTGCTACAAAGCTTCTGGATTTTAGTTTTCGACCGTGAATTATACTCCTTTTCATCCTTTTTTTCACTTATCTATGACTGAGGATCAAGCTATGTTATATCTCTACACGTAGACTTTAGGTTGTGAAAGTATTGGGGAATTGTTATATCCCTCTGAGACACATATAGTAATTTATTCTCAAGAAGTTGTAACTTAGCATCATTCTTCTTAGATAAAAGGGCTTTCAACATATCCCAAGCCTCTTTTGGAGTCACTACATCTCTGATATGTTCTAGAATATCTTATTCAACTGTTGTTTTTAAAACGAACATGGCCTTGCCTGTTTTAATCTTCCACTTGCATAAGTTTCCATGGTTGTGTTCTGCCTCCGGTTAACTTGTCTCTGACCCATTTACAACTTCCTAAAGATCTTGCCCTTGCATGTATGACATGATGCAGGTAGACCATGTGTTGTAATTTTGGTTGTTAAGTTTCTTCACTCCACCGGTAGTTTGAAGGTTAGCCATTAAACCAAGCTCTGATACCAGTTTGTTGAACTTGAAGGATAAAAGAACACACTTTTACACACTGTAAGAGTACACAGGAAAACACAAAAAAAAGGAAAAACTACTTTAGCATGAAAACAAAAAGAATGAAAAACTATTTTAGCATTGCCTTATGAGACTTACACGAAAAAAAAGGTTAGTGACAACTACAATGTAACTTCTACTAATAAAGTAATTGCCCACCAAGAAAAGATAAAAACTGAAAATTGAACATAAAGAAATAAACATAAAATTGACCAAGTAACTCGTGCACATGCATTTAAGTGTTGTACTATTGCATTTAGGTGTTGTACTTTTAACATTGTCCACGTTAATTAAAAGATATATAAAAAGAGTACGCTATCATTATGAAATATTTCTTATAAAGTTATTATCGTTGAACCGACGATAACTTCAAATGTTGTTGCATCCCTTTTTATTGTTGAAATTTAGTCAAATAAATAATATGAATGGTAACAATGACAAGTTAAGACGGTATGATATAATGATCACAACAAAAATGGCACATTATTAATGGTGAGATGCAATTGTAAAACGACAGTTTTAACCACATTCAACAAATAAGTCCATTTCCAAATGTAACAAATTGCATACAAATGGTAGCAATACATTAAGTTTCGTCCATTGTCCAAAAAATGTCAAAAGCTCATAATAAGCCATGTATCTCTGCGACATTTGTTTACCATCAAATTAACATCACAAAATATATTAATATATCGCTTTTAAGTTGTATCTTGTAACCAAAAAATTATTATATTGTATAATGATATAGTTGCATTATAATTTGTGGATTAATTGCAGACATCTACAGTTGAGGCACATGCATCCTATATCTTCTTATAAGATGAATTGAGTCTCCTCTTCGACATTAGCAATACCACCTTCCTTCAACCTTACACACACACCAAGGTGAAAACACGCACACAAACTATTGAGAGAATGAAGAACATGATAATAGTCATGTTTATAATATTTGGTATTTCAGAAGCACGACTGAAAGTAGGGTTCCACAGAAAAACATGCCCAGACGCCGAGTCCATTGTTGGTGGGTTTGTAAGGGATGCAGCTCAGTTTAACCCACAGATTCCTGCTTTCATGCTCAGGCTTCACTTTCATGACTGCTTTGTTCAGGTTCTTTCAGTTCCCTCTCTCACGCTTTCTAGGGTTCATCCGGTACTTACGATATGAACCACTCGTTTGATTTTCAGGGTTGTGATGGGTCAATTCTAATAGATAATGGACCAATTTCAGAAAAGCTAGCAGTAGGGCACCAAGGAGTGAAGGGTTTTGATGTGATAGAGAATGCAAAAGCTCAGTTGGAGTTTGTTTGCCCTGGTGTTGTTTCTTGCGCCGATATTGTTGCCATAGCTGCTAGAGATGCTGTTGCTTTTGTATGTCACATGCTTTCTCTTTTTTCTATATCTCACACAGTTACACCTTGAAGTGTGTGTTTGTGTGGATGATTTGATTTTGATGTTGGTGGCAGACTTTTGGTCCAATTTATGAAGTTGAAACCGGCAGGAAAGATGGGTTTGTTTCCAATATCTCATTGGCTGACAATATGCCTGATTTCAGAGACTCAATTCATCTTCTCAAAAAGAAGTTCTTTGACAAAGGTCTCACTGAGAAAGACCTCGTGGTTCTCACTGGTACTCTTTCTCTTTCTTTCTCTCTCAAGTCTCAATATGAATTGCGTGTAAGTGTATATAAATATATATATCATGCAGATTCGATGGGTTTGTTTAGTTGGTAGACATTTTGAGAGGTATGAACATTGGGGATTTGGCTACTTTGTTTTGATATTAAATATCAAGCATAATAATAAAGGAAATATTCTTATTTATTTTATGCATGGTAACAAATGTTAGGTGCACATACTATTGGTACAACCGCATGCTTCTTCCTTATGGACCGACTCTACAACTTCGTGCCTGGTGGGGGTCCGGATCCAAGTATAAATCCGGATTTCCTACCTGAACTTATGGAAACTTGCCCACCGGAGGGAGACATAAACTTTAGGTTACCGATTGATCATGATAGTGGAGAGAATTTTGACAATGGGATCCTACAAAACATTAGGAGCGGCTTTGCAGTGCTACAATCAGATTCAAAGCTCTTGGATGATCCAGAGACCAAGCAAATATTGGATTCGTACTTCGGGTCTACTAACCAATCGTCTTTTGAAGCAGATTTTGTGACGTCCATGGTGAAAATGGGTCGTGTTGGAGTTAAGACCAGTTCAAAAAGAGGAGAAATTAGACGTGTGTGTAACACGTTTAATGATTAATAAGACGTTTTTCCGTGTCAAAAGTAATAGTAAATTTAATTAGACGTGTGTGTAACACGTTTAATGATTAATAAGACGTTTTTCCGTGTCAAAAGTAATAGTAAATTTTATACTCTATATGAATTTAAAAATCTTTGATGCCTTTTTATGTTTTTATAGTAAAAAATGTGTAATTATAGTGTTGTAAATGGTTATACAGAAACTGCCTAAGATATTTGTTAGGCGGTCAAATAAGGCGGAGTCGGTCAACATCAAACTAGGCGGAGCTAGGCGGCCGGAATTTCCAATTTTTAAAATTTCGAAATTTCAAATATTACGTCAAAATTTTTAAATTTGCAAAATTTAAAATTTATATATTTCGAAATTTACCAATTTTTTAAAATTTTGAAATTATAAAATTTTTAAAATTTAAAAATAAATCCTAATACATTTAAAGGTCTCCGCCTAGGAAATAGTAAACTGAAAATCAGGGACGGAACACAAACAATAATGCTAGAGGGCCGAAACTTAAACCTCAGACAAATTATATAATGAAAATTAACCTATGATTACTACATTTTCATTTTAATATTAACTACATGAAAAAATTAACAAACATTAAATGAAAATAATAAAACATTGATTTTTAAAAGAACTAGTATTTTGTTAAAAATAAAAAATAAAATAAAAAACTAATAATCTATAATTTCTTTACCACTCCAAAGTTAATGTCTTTTTTATATTAAAATTTGGTTCATAGAATCTTTAAAAACTAATTTAAGATCTTATCTATTTTTTTAAAGCTTGAAAATTAATCGTCTTTCCAAAAATAAATAGATTTTGAAATCAAGAATTATTTGTAAATTGTAATATATCTAGATATGTAGATAACACTGTTTATTATTATTATTAATTTGTACTTTTATAGCTCTGATAGAGGCTACAACCTTATAGATACACAGCTAGATTACTTGTTCCAAAGTTTTTACTGCATTACTAAGTCATGTCATATTAATATTCTTAAATACAATTTTTTTTTAACCGGGTTCAGATATACAAATGAGAGTCTATTAGGTTTGAGCGACTGAAAGAGATATAAAGGTGATGTGTACCTCATTCCGACGGAGAGGAAAGCACGAACAATAGAAGGCAATACTTCTACCGGCATTTGGCTCCAGTAACTCGGCGAGGATAGAGGACAAGAAGTAGGTGGGGAAGAGACAACTAACTTGGCGAGGAGAGAGCAAAAGGCCTGATAAGTTGCATTGCGGTGGTCCGATGGAAGAGTTACGTTTTCAAATGCGGGAAGATCTAGCCTGAATATTCTGATTTAAGTCGGATTAAAAGCTCTGGTGAGTTGCATGGCGGTGGTGATAACATTTAGGGTTTTCTTTTGTTTTGAAGATTGGAGTCCGTAATTGAGTTTTTTGGTATTTGTATAGAGTTATTACTTAGTTTTCAATGTTAATTTTGTGTTCGATCTGATAAGATTCATTATTCCTAGTTAAATTAGGTTTCCTTTGATAAGATATTATTTAAATTAATTTTCGATTTGCTTAACTTTTCTTAACTAGACAACGATAGTTATGATTTTTTTTTAATTAGAGAACACAATTACTTGTTTTTTGTAGATAAAAACCTAGAGGGGCCGATTAGTTTTGATTTTCAAATAATTACTATATGATTATTAATTCCAGAAATTCTAATATTAACTAGGTTAAAAAAGTTGGGGGGCCATGGCCTCCCCCAGCCCCTTCTGTGTTCCACCACTGCTGAAAATACTTGGAAATGGAAAATGTATCATGACAATTGAGATTAGTTTCTAATAACACAAAAGACAAAGTACACTGCTATAGTCATATACTATTCAAACACTCTCATCAAAGGATAACCAACCATATTTAAAGTTTTGAACAAAAAGTCAACAACATATTACAATGCTATAATTGTAACAACCTACTAAATCAAATTTGTAATCATTATCGGTGAAACATAGTTCAATGTTATATTGTAACAAAGATGTAAGAAAAATGAAGTAGTGAAACACTAATATAAATACTAATGCAATTGTGTCACACCCCCAAACCAAGGATCGCGGAAACGTCGGGGGGTGGTGGACTTCATGTATAGTATCACAACAACGAGTATAATAGTGCTCAAAGTAAATACAACCATCATAAATATAATTGAAAAAGTTATACCTGATGGGTTTTAGGTAAAACAAATAAACTAGAAACAATTCCTAAGTTCACATGCAACCTACTTTGGAT